ACCTTTTTTTTTTTTTTTTTTTTTTGCGAAGAACAGATTTTATGTAGCGTTTATGCATCCAAACATATTTTTACTAGTTTTGTTAGTAACTAAAGTCAAAACTTTGAGACCCGTGACTGCTCTAGAAATTTCTTTTTTTTCAGCCTAATTCTTATTACCCTTCTTGCCTACTGGTTAGTGCTCATAAGAATGGCTTGGCTAAAATGTCTGTATCTCTATACGGGATTTTGTGTGACTAAGCGAAAAAGGAGTCTCTTTCCATATTGGATCTTTGAGTCTGTCTTTCTATAAAAAGAATGTCTAGCTCTTAAACCCAGAGGAGAGGAAACGCGTAATGTGTAAGTGGAAATGCTGATCAATGTGAAAGAAGTACAGAAGTGTAGGTGTGCGTGTCAAGCTATTTGTGCCATTAAATACAGAGAAAAATAAGACTGATAGAAGTGATAATAACAGAATAAAAATGCAACACCTAAATTCACTAACCTGGTAAATCAGCCAGGACTGATTGGAGATAGGAATCTGAAACGTTTGGTATACTGTCTGGCAGCAGCTTACAAAGCAAATAGGGTCTTAGGAGGTATAATTAGAGGAGATACAGTGCTCATTCAGTAGAGGTCATTAAGGCACTATTCAGAGAAAAAACAAGTCAAAGCCACTTCTTGTTATTGCTAACTATTTTGAGTGTCATGTTACGTGGAAAATACAGAACTATAGCCTGTAAGGGTGCATGCACATATCTATATTAAGGTATTGCTTCCTTCAGATTCTGTGGATGGATTTATATTTTTTAAAGAAATTCCCTTTGCCATTTGTTTACAGTGAATCCCAGGAGTTCTAATCATTAAAAATGATTTTATAGTTTATAGAGTACTAAGCGGCTGTTAGAAATGTTTCACAAAAAAGTATATGTAGCAGCTCTTTACCTTAATATACCTTGATATACCTTAATACATGACTTATCTGTGATTGTTCAGTTTAGGCAAGCCCACACTTGCCTAAGTATACCGTATGTATATATAATATATATACATGTCATAGTACCTGGATACAATGCAGTGTATCACAATGCAATACATAATACTCAGATACCTGCTGTTTTTTAGAATCTCAGTATTTGTCTTTTTTAGAGAGCAACTGCCTTCAAATGCTCCTCTGCTTTTAACTTAGTAATGCTGAAAAACAGCCCCACATAAACAGGAATAGCATGATTTTGAACTCACTGCTGCCCAGACCACTGAGGTATTATTTTCATGGCCTGTTTATGTGAACGTGGCAATTAAGAATGGGAGACTGTAAAGCATGTACAGGAATAACTAAGAGCAACTATTTTCTCGCCAACCATCCCTCACTACAATGGCTCTTTCTCTGTCTCCCTATTATACTTTTTTTAATATATAAATTAGGTAGCTATTGCAGTCACTGGAACTTCTGGGAATATATCTGTGATTATTTTCTCATTATAAACACAGCAGTTCTATACTTATTTCACAGGAAATAATGGAAGAATTTGTCTAGCCATACAGACAAACATAAGGTGTGGGAAAGTCTGGGAAAACTGTCAGCACTCAAATGATGTAGTCCACATCCTTGGGGCAACTTTGGCTAGATACAAACACAAATGAAAGTCTAGGGCATGTCAGCTGGAATGGGTATAAAACTTTGGCCCTAGAAAGGCAAACTGATGAAATTCTACAATCAGTCCTTCTCTTTCTTTGGCCTATTGTTTCTTACAGCCCAACAGCAACTAGCTGAGGTTTCACTACTGAAGGAAGTAGCTTCTAAATCATGTAGTGGGAGGGTTCTGGAGGGGAAGGAGTTTGATCTGAGGGCTGAAAGTTTGGGCAGGCATATAGGGATGCTTTCCTGAATATGAGTGTTAGGTCAGAGAATAATTCAGGATCAAGGGGATGTTTTTTCTTTTGCAAAATAACTCTAGTTTTAAACTCAGTATTCATTAACAGTGTAATTTTTTGCAATGGCACTAGTAGAATGAGGAGATAAATATAATTGATGCAGCTAAATTCAGAGGCTGAAACAGTCATTGCAAGAGCAGGTTTGTTAAAAGGCCATAGCCAGTTCTGGTATGTGCTTTCAGAAACCCCCACCCTGGATTCCCAGCTGTGCTTCATGTCCCCCTTTCATACCTTTGCAGGGATGGGATCACAGGGCAGTTGACTACAGTTTCTTGAGTCTGACTGATTCTATGCTTGATTTTCTATATCTTGCTTATTTATGTGATAAACAGTTTAAAGAAAATGCAAATACTGAGGTGGAAATGAGCTCACATCCATGAATGTCTGCTCATCCATTTATTTATTATGAAGCTTAATTCCCACATCCAGGGTGCCCTCTATAGCTAGAGGGACACTTTATTCTCCTGGTCCTGTTTGGGCCCATGTTGAATAAAGACAGGAGTGAGCTGATCCATATAGAACTGAGTGTCTGTCACTATTTTTTCAAGGTCTGCTAGTCCTCTTCTGGATATTTACTGCTACAAGGTTGATCCTTGGCAGACTTCCCAGTCCACCAGATTGCCCTCATATACTTCCCGCTTGGATGACAAGGTGTGGTACTTTCAGACAAAAATCAGTACAGTTTCAGTTGTGTGAGTCTTTCTCCCCACCTCTATCTCCTTGTGCTTCCATTCCCCAGATTGCCTGTCTGGAGGAGTAGGACTTTTCCTCTGCAAAACGATATACCACAGGGTGGAGGCTGCAACACAATGATACGAAGACTCCTCTTTCCTCCTCGACTTTGATAAGCGATCACATGTGAGGAGAGATTGGGTGTTGCTCTAGAGTTGTGACAAACAGAGAGACATGAAGCATGTTTGCAAGTAGGACGCTTCAAATTGGAAAAGCTTCACAACACGAATGGCTTGCGAGACCCAGGGAGGATATTTGAAATAGCCTCCCTTTAAGATGACTGAATAAAGAACTGACACAAACTCACTGCACGGGCTGACATAGTCCTGAAGCAGCTGAGGCAGGGAATTTTGAAATCTAGTATCAGGACACCCACTGCCTAGGCTTGGGACTATAGCAGCTTCAGTACAAATCGAGTTAGAGCTTAAACCCAAATTTCTGACCCAGACATAACATACAATGTGAATCTATCTCTGCCTTGAAAATCTGGGCCTACTTTGTGCAACCTGCAAGTGCAATTTTCTGAGTTTTTTTTACAAAGTCAGATATTGTACGTCTGTACGCGGGCCTGGAATGTGATTTCTTGACTGAAACTATGTTGAGCCTGAAGAAAAACCATTGCAAATCTAAGCCTGGAAAATTATTACTAAGCACAGAAAAAGGCTGATTAAAGCAAGAGGTATGCATAAAGGTTTTGGAGAAACTTGCTTCCCCGTTCAGTGTGAGATGTTTATTCTGCTGCTGTGTTTGCTGCTGGGAGGCTTTTACTCCTCCCTGAATCCAAAACACCTTGCTATTTCTCTGGCAGAACAGTACTTCTCTGTGAGAATGAGAATGCTGGCCCCAAGAATGAAGATAGACTGGTAGTGAGACCCTGCTGAAATCTGCCTTTTGCAGAAAATTGTTGCCCTGAAGCAAACATAACATTTGGTTCGCAAGATCGTACTGTCACATTTTCTTGTTAACCATTCAGTAGACTGCTACGTGAGGCCCAAAGCTTCCCCTCTTGAAATCTGCAGGAACTTTACGCTGCATTTAAAATGGGTGTGAGCGGGTCTAGTGTATACACTTTGCTAAGAGATAAACATTAAAAGAAACTTAAAATGAAATCATAGTTAACATTTTTATTTTGAAGTTGATATATAGTGGCATCCAAATAATCAGACAGCTCTTCACTGTAAAAAGCTCAAAACAAACAAAAAATTTAAAAAAATGATTGCTAAAGTCCTAACTTATTTTATAATCACAAATTGGAATAGCAGTTGTTTTTGCTGGTCTGGTCTCCCTTTCCGCTGGCTGCGTTCCATTTCTGTGTGACAGATGTGCTATTTATGGAAGGGGATTCTGAATATTTTAAAGCACTGACTGTTAGGATCGTCTCATTCCCAGCCTTTAAAACCAAAGAGAACAGAATGCCAAACAATTTTCTAGAGAAAAATCTCCAAATTAAATATATAAAAATATTTAGTCATTTAAAAATAAAGAAGGAAAAAAAACCCATTATGTCAGATTGTATATTGGGTATCAGAAGAACCTAATTCATATATAATAAGTACATACAGTAATTGTAAGTCATTCCTGTGCAATGTTTTCTGATTTAACCCAATAGTTATTATTACTGGTTTTCCCTTTTAAAAAACAGACACTGTTTTAGGGAAAAAAAAAATTGATGAGGTACACAGGTTCCTGAGAAAGAATGTGTGTCTGAAAATTTGGCTGTTTTCTTTCCCAGCTGTATTGGCAGGTCTAATGAAAGATAGTGCTTCCCCATAAAAATCTTGCTTTACAAGTATCTAATATATTTCATGTTCACTTATGCATAAGGCAAGCAATATTTGAAACCTTTCAGTGAAATAGTTTCAGAGCTGGCACATTAATGTTTACCATTCTGGTTATGTATTGGGTATCTGTTTGGGGGTATATGGGGTAGAAAGATAAAAGGCATAAAGTCATTGGAAGTGTATGTGTGGGAAAGATTCTCTATAAACAGATAGACCTTGGGGTTTATTTTACTTCACCTGATCATTTAGCCTTTTGGGAATGTAATTCAGGTCGTAGTAAGTTGTGCTATGGGGCTCTCGTTCTCCCTTTGGAGGCATACTAACAGTGAAAATAAAAACAGTTTTGCTTATTAGGCATTTATAAAAATTCAGATAAGCAGTTTTTAATGCTTTTTGCTCTGTATATTTTTCATTATGCATTTCAAATATTTTATTGTATTTGTAAGTTTTCTAGAGAATGAAGCATTTTTTTTTAACATTTCCATCTACTTATTTATAAATATCTAATTTCCGCAGTTACACTCATGCAATCTCTGCAGAGGGTGATACCAATTTAATGTATGCAGCTGAACAATGTACATACTATTAATCCCAGAAGGTAAAGGAAAGATGTTAAGCAGGTGATGTGACATTCATTATTATTATTTTTGCAGCTGTGGTTTAATATTCCAAAATGATTTTTTTCTTCAAAAAGACGACAGCACTTTAGTAGCTGCCTTGACCTCCATGATGTCAGAATGTCATTGTGCAACCGTAGCTAAGAAAAGCCTCTGAGAAAAAACAAAGGAGCTTTGCATCTCCCACTAACATGAGATGTGCATATACAGTACGTAGCATTTTGGAATTCATACTGTGGTAGTGAGCTGTTGCTTTCAGTTTGATTAGACAATCATTGTTTCGTTTTTCCTTGCTTTGACAGTGAGTATGCTTGTTTGCTGCTTAAGTCTTCTTAGTGCTATCTAGGTCAGTATACTTAGGATAGCTTTTATGTTCTGTAAGTAAGTCAGACAGATACGGTGCCTAAAAAAGATCAGCATCAAATTTTCTTATATTTATTATATTTAGGATAGAAAAATATTTTATAATTAATCAGAATTGTATACCACATAGCACCTACCATTTCTGCATTGCAGATATATTTAGCTCTAACACTGCTTGTGGTTAACAGGGTGTAGCGTAGACACAGACAGCTGATCATGCAGTCAGACCCTGTGCTTGTGTGGTTTGTCAATACTGCTCAGGATTTTGATGGACTGTAAAAGAGAAAAAAAAAGAAAGGAAAGAAAAAAGAAATGTTTTATTTGTATGAACATTAGATCTTTATTATGATATTTTTCCTATCATTGTCTTTTTTTTCTTTTTTCCTTTTTTTTTTTTTAATTCTAACGCTTACAAATTAGGAAAGCACAGCAAATGCATCCAGGATCTAATATGTGCTGTGTGAAATCTTTCTTCGTCAAGAGGATGTTACTGTAGTCAATCCAGCCTTTCTCCAATAAGCAAGAAGATTATTTTGTTTTCATCGGCAGGCGGACTCGGCTATTGCACAGACAGATTTTGATAAGAGTTTGAAATGCCTACTACTGTATCATTGTAGAATTTGGAGTTTGCTAACAGTGTTAGTGACTGGAGCTCATCTTGCATCACCAGTTGATGACAATTTTCTTTGTTCCCTCCCACCCAGTTGAACCAAGACTCTGTAGCTGATATGCAATGTCACTTACAACATTAATCAGATACTGCATTTAAGGTGAGCTGTCCCTTGCCTCCTCCCTTACCAGAGCTGTGCTGCAGTATGTATCTTACTCCTGCAAGCCTAAAATGGCAGGCAGGATTAACGTTGCTTGTGCTGTGTGCATGCTGTGTATTGAATTCATTATACCGTGCCTAGTATCTCAAATGTGAGTATGTAAATGGTCTGTGTGCCATATCATGCAGTAGTGAAGACTGGTTTATGCTTCATTACAGGCATAGATATTTGAGCATCACCTTAAGAATTCTTTTTCGTTTGCAATGTGGTGAGCTGCTAGCTTGTCATCACATTCAAACTACGTTATTAGCCCTTGGAAAGGAAAAAAAAGAAGCAAACTGTGCTTCCAGATGGTGTCACCCTTTTTCTTCTTGCATTTACTGTAGTTTAAATAATGTATATTGTATTGTTAATTAATGTGAATATCGAATTAAAGCACTTGAAACTTACATATTTATTATGCAGGTAGGAGGCACGTCGAATCTATTTTTAACTCTTACGCAGTCCACGTTGTGCAATGGGCTTTGGTTGTCGAGTTTATATTTTCAGCTGTGATATCAATAGGCTGATTTTCAGTAAATGTGACAAGTGGCCTTTGCAGTGGTCAGGTTCGAGCTTTGAACCCTCTGAGGAGGAGAGAAAAAAAAAACCTTGTATTGCAGTTTCGGAAAACCTTGGATGAAGACTTTTTTTTCCCCCTACTCCTGCTTTCCCTACTGATAAATTCAGTTCTCCTGATCATGGTCTATTCAAGCTGCTTCCCATCTGATTTTTGACAACTGCTTCTAAAAAATTATCGAGAAGACCGAGAATTCAGTTTGTCTCCATCGCTCTACATAAAAATGGCTGAGTGCATTGCCATGCTAACACTGCACTAAGTGGTACACGCAGGTAGGTTGAGATTTGCATGTTTTACAGATTTCTTCGTCAGTGTTGCAAGAACATAAAATGGGCTTTAGAATGTAGCTTTCAGTTTAAAAATGCATTAAACTGTTAACTGGAACCAAAATAATATTAAATTGTTTGGCTTCACATATTGGCATGACAATTGTTTTTACCTGTTTTAAAAAAATCTATTGTGAAAGTAGAGCAATCATGTCTGTTAAAATAATCATATGTACTAAGGGCGTGGCAACGCTTCTGCAACAAAAGAATTTTTGAAAACCCTACTGATTCAATTACATTTTAAAGCTGACGATGAGCATCACTGAGCTTGCAGTTAAAATAAAAAAAAATAAAAATTAAGATAGATAAGAAAAAAGAAAAATATTTCAATTCTGTTGTAAGCGGTTTCCTGTGCGTTGTGCGAAATCTTAAATAAAGATTGATATGCTTTAATACTTATGTTTTCAGTATTGGATGCAAACATAAACCTGCAGTATTTCTTTTTATTTTAAGGTAGAAGGATTTTAAAGAGAATGATTGATATAGATGGCCCTGTCAGCTTAAACTGAGTATCAGTAAAAAGTGTGTTTTTACTTCAAACAAAAAAGGTTATGAAATCAAAACTAGGCAGCCTTAGGTTCAAAAGCCTGAATTTGAGCATTAGAGAATAAAAAGAATTATGATTATTGTACTACTAACACCAACTTCTGTAACATATTTGTTTGAGATTAATACTGGGCCAGAACCAGTTTCCTTGGCAACCAAATCCTTTTAAAAGGTGCAATAGTAGTGGTGTAAAAGAAGTTATTCTCTTTAATACCAATACCACAATGCAAATGGAAATTTTGCAGTTAAGTTTCTTTTCAGTTCTAAATGAGAATCTGATCTCATTTTATGTTTCCATGCGGCTATCATTTCTTAAACGATGCCATGTTTATAAAGCTGTACACAACAGAAAACTGCTTTTTACCTGTTTTGCATTGATTATTTCCAGAAACGCACCCAGATTCTTTTTTTTTTCTTTTTTTAATGTAGCCTAGTCTCATATGTAGGTCAAGGTTTGTACTGTGTGTATATAAAGCGATAGTTTCATTATCACCAGGATAAAAGTATCACTGGAACATTTAGCAGCTGAGAAATGCAGAGAATCAGAAGTATGTTGAAACCCCTTTGCTGAATTCTGCCACAGTAATGCTAATAAACCTTTTTTAAACAGTGGACGCATTCTGAAGTTCAGCTAAAGAACTGTGTTTAACCATACTGGAAAAGAACTTGTGTCCGATCTTATAAACAAGCCTTTATATAAGCTCACTTGTGCTCTGCGGTAATTTACTGACCTCATAGGTTTTGCAAAATATAAGTATTATAATTCCTTATTTCCATTTTTTAGGTAACATTTTAAACAATATCAGTGAAGTTAAATCTTGTGTGTATACCAGCGTTAACATTTTATACAGTATTACATGTTACTAAATGTCTCCACTTAACCTATGAGACAGTGCATCTCCTTATGAATCTCCTTTGTACGTGACTTGAGAAATTCTCACTACTGCAAGGAGACTTTTGCAGCAGGGTAGCCATTTTCCTTTCATGTCCTTCACTTAAAAATGACTTAGTATATTTTATGTGGATGAGGATCCAGCATTGAAAATCCATGCAAAAGGTGTATTAGAAGCACAGCCAATTATATTAATGATAGCCTTGACAGTTTCAGTGAGACTGAACGAATTCTCATTTATTTTAAAATATAGCAGTTCAGTGTATTCCAAATAAACAGTGTATTGCTGTTTAGGAAGATGACTGTTGTCATCTGTCTTGATAGGCCAATGCTTAATAGTGATAATAAAACCATTTGGTTTGTAATTACTAGATTAGTTTGACACAGTGCAATCATATTTCCCCATTCCACATAAGGAAGCAGAACTGAAAACATGATAAACAGCATCTCTCAAGTGACATATTAAAGTTGATTTTTTTTTGTAATTTGATTTTTCTCCAGTAGCTTGTCTCTGATATATTGTTTTTCAGTCTGAAATATTATTTGAAGTACGCGCTTCCATGTAGTTACCAAAACCGTATTTCTTTGTTTATTTCTTGTGTGGTTATTTTTAAAGGAAGTTGCTGAGCTAATGCTATGCAGCAGCAATCTGTTTATTGCTATTGATATTTATCTTTAGAAAAGAAGTGGCACTTCTAGTTAAACTGTTTTTATTATGTCTTTGTGTTAAAATATATGCACTCAAGGCATTTAAAGAAAGCATAGCTCCATGACACGAGCATGCTTCACTACGGTTGTTTTAAATCCATTTGCAAATTCGCTCTTTTGTTCGAGGGTGCGAGTCCTCTTGTAATTAATATGACGGGACTCAAGTGCTTTCATGGCTCTGGAAAAACTCTTTGGCAGCCTGTGAACGGTAATTTCTTCTAGCTAAAGAAACTGATTAATTTATTAAGGAGCATTCTAGTAATTAGCAATCTGTTTCCAGTTTACATCATACATCGGGTGCTGTATGTATTTTAATGGCAGTTAGGTCTAGCTGACGCAGGGTGTCTGAATGTTAAAGCCAGAGGTGCCGTAGGAAATCTCGCATAAACTTTGTGCATGTTATTCTCTCTGGCTAAGGGGGCTAACAGGGGTACCGAGGAACAGGTGCAGTTTTCTGCACCTCAGCACGACCTGTCAAATGTTCGTGTCAAGGGGGCAGGCTCAGGTTTTTTGGCCAGTTTTATCCTAGATGCCAAACTGAATGATATTCAATTCTCCTTTTTATAGCTGAAACCTATTCTTTTACGCATGTAAATTTTGCTTCTGCCCAACAGAAAATCTACCGAAAGCTTGAGTGGACACAAAATCAAGCACGAAATCATTCAGCTGGACACTGTCATGCTTACTTTTAAATGACCTTTTCAGTTAAGGTTACTCCTGGCTCTAAACTTCAGTTTCATTTGCAGGTCTCACAGTGTGGAGACAGTATTTGTGTTTAGACAACATTTGTCAGACTATTGCACACAGATTCTGGTAGTAATGAACAGATACCGCTTAACCCTTTGGGGGCATCTGGTGCGTCTGTTTTACTTTATCATGTACAAGGTTTTATGAGGTATAGGGTTGTATCGTGCATTAAATTTGATTTATTATGTATAGTAGTACATCTGAATTCTAGCATTATCAAATTTGGGGGTTCTCTTAGCTGTGATAAAACCCTTTACCTGTTGGGTTCCTCCAAGTCTGGTGTGAAGTTTCCCATTCACCATACTTTGACAGTGACTTATGAATATAGATGGGCTTATGACTTTACTGGTGTTTGAGATAATAATAATGGCTTAATGCCATTTTTTTTCATACTGGCCTTTGTTACGGGGAGATGCATGTGCTATAGACTGTTTCAGCTAAAACAAAACAAGTGATGGATGCTGTAGTTATTGTATACAGTTATCTATGAAAGTATAGTGGTATATTTGCAAATGGAAGATGTATTTATTTATTCTTAATTGCTGCTCTATAAATGCCTATCAGCTGAGTCATATGGCCTTATGCATAAGATTCTGCAGTTGCTATATGGAACAATTTCAGATTTTGTTCAGTATCTTCAGAACAAAGACTGTTCTGAAGTCTCTTAGTTGTTCTAAACTACTTTCACAGTCTTATATAATAAAGTTATTAGGATGTTTGATATATAGTAACATGAAATTGGGATGTTTGAAAACAATGAAGAACCACTTAAGCAGAGAGATACAGAAAGTCTATTCCAGAGGACAAGAGTTGCCTAGAAAGTCTTATCTGTGATAAAAGTGGTCAGAAGTGGCAGGATGGAAAGATGAGAAAGAAAAGGCCCTTTGAGAGATGACAAAAATACTTGGAGGCTTTTAAAATAAAAGGTAACTTCTAATTGGTTTCTGAAGTTTATGTGGAGTCAAGGGAGTTGCCCAGTGATGAAGATTGTTTCCCCTAGTACCATGATTTGTTTTCTTAACTGGCAAAATGTGATAGCTAATCTTAAATACACTTATTTTTCACTGACTTTATCTTGTGAAACTCAGGAGCAGATTGCCTGAGAAAACTATGAAGCCTCCATTACTGGATGTCTTATTAGGTAAATGTGTCAGGAACAGTTTGGAGATAGTTGGGATGGCGAGGGAAAGGGAAATACAGCTGAGGCCTGCTTTTAGCCCAATTTTTCCAATAATCTCGATAAAGAAATGGTTTTAAACCTCAGTTTGAAAATGTCCTTAGATTTCAGTCTAGAACATATTATGAAACATTATGTCCCGTTTGCACTACACAGGTTAAACCATAATGAAACAATGCTGGCAGAAGCAGTATTTATAATGGTTTGATTAACAGTACTGTTTTATTGCTAATTAGTTGCAAGCCTCACAGATCTAGATTTCAAGCCGTACAGCATTCCAAAGAAAGTTTAGATGAGTTACACAATATATCTGGAAATTAGTACTTGTCTAATAATGTAGTCATTAAATTTGGGTCTTCCCCTTTGCAGGCTGACACACAGTAGCCACAGAGGTCACACAGTTGCTGAGATGATTTTGCTGAACATACCTGTTGACACCACTTTAAAAAGACAGTAACAGACGAACAACCCGATTCTAGGCGGGTAAGTTTATGGGGTGATTACAGTAAGCTGAAATGTCTTTAAAACTTGCACAGAAATAAAGCTAAAATATTTAATGCTTTAAAAGCACATTATATGATTTTTTCCAATTAAATATCTACCTTTTTTTTAAGAAACATTTAAGATTTTGTTCTCACTATTGTACTGCATTCCTATAGTCAAGTGTCAGTGTTGTTGGATTTTTCCAGCTGCTGTTGGGTTTTTATTGCCAGAGGTTGGAGAACTAAAATCTTACAGAATAGCTCCTTGAAACAGGTTGCTGTGGCCTCCATGAGCTGTACAAACCAGACATATTGGTAGGCAAGCAGCAAACCTCTTGAGCTTCCCAGAATGTTAACTCTGGATGCCGGGACTCAGCAACCATTACAAACCTATGCCATACAATAAAGGTAGTGCCCATTAGTGCCCATGTCCAATTTTAATCTTGCTATTTTGACTGAGTTTTATATAGTTCATCTCATAAATGACTAATCTTTATATATGACTGTAATCAGGGGTAGTAAAAAAACCTTTGAATTGTGACCTGCAGTAAGCACTTAGTAAACTCAAGCACAGCATTGTGACAAATAACGAGGATTTTTCAAAATACAATTTTGCATTTTGCATGACTTTTTCAAATAATAGCAGTTTCCTTTCTATCTTCTTATTGTGAATTCAAAATAATCATCTGGGTTGAAATAAGCATGTCTGGTATATGTGCTTTAAGATATGTATGTATAAAATGAAAGAATCTGAAATCCTGGTAATTGATTTATTTTGAACCTGATCCTTTGCATCATATAGTATAATTTGCATCGTAGCAAGGGAGTAGTTTCATTGATTTGAGTGGCACTATTCACACAAATTTCTGTGGGAAATGGTTTGTGTGTTCATAGTCATTAATGCTGAAACATCTCAAGATATACATAGGTAATTAAGGCTATCAGTCAAAATGTAAGATAAGGAATCATTTAAAACACATGTACACGCACACAAAACATCAAAAAACCTTCTTTATATTCTAGAATATCTCAAAACATTATCTGTTATTAAGTTTACTGTTAATACGCAATGCTCTATGATATCCAGACAGGAGATAGTAACAGATTTTCAGAGAAAACAAGATGGCATTGGCAGTTTAAATTAATCAGTGAAACATGAAAATTAGATAACTTGAAGTTACCTGGACTTACAGAAGCAATGGGCTGCAAAATCTAAATTCTACCTATTTTAAGTAAATGATCATAGAACACGTTGCTCAGTATTTTTTAGATAGAATCCTGGGCCATAACCTGTTTCCTTGGCAACTACATACGAATAAAAGGTACATTAGCAAAGCTGCAGATGTGTGTTAGTGAATGCTTATTCAGCCCAATGCATTTACATAGCATGTGCTCATAATAATGCATGCATCTTGAAAATCACCATGTAAAAAGATTTCTGGGCATGGCCCAAAATGGATTTTTAATACTCAAAGATTTTAACCTAAAACCTAAACCGTGGAGATTTCCACGGAGATGGAAATCTCTCCGTGATTTTTCACTGAGCTTTAATTTGGACTTGCAATAACTGGACAAAATTGGCGTGGCAGTTTTGCTGTGCAAACCTTTTCCCAAGATTCTGAATACTTACAGCCCTCCTTTAAGACAACAAAATATGGAAATTAAGATATCTGGTGTCTTTCAGAAATGCTCAGCCATTCTAAATTGAATCTTGCAGCAGCATTCATAAGCAAATATGATTATATTGCTTGACGCAGTGACAAACTAAAGCTGTTAAATAAAAATGAAATTCCTATTGCTTGTAGCACCCTCATTCTATCCAACATACCCAAGCTAAGAGATACAACAATAAAATGCTGTCTTTTGACAGTCAGCAACAGAAAAGGGGGAAAAAAAGCAAGAGAAATCTGTAGAAGAGATCAAAACGGCAGCTGTTCATGTACTTTCAGAATAAGATTTTGATGTAGCATTTAGGCAGTACTCACACTTTCCGTACACTTTCTGGGTTTGTATAGTATTATTTTACTTTATATTAGTGGCTTTAAAAGAAGCTTAGATATATATTGGATCAATTTTGACACGTTTCTTTACTGATTTGAGCAAAGTTATGTACATTTTGGCCTGTCTTCTCAAAATATTCATTTGTATATAAAATGAAAGACTGTAGACTTCTCTTCAGGTTGATTATATTACCCCAAGATGAAGCATCTTTAATAGTTAAGAAGCTAGTCTAAAATGCCAATCTTTAGAAAGACAGAAAGGAATAATGGGAGACTGCAAGTCTTGAGCTTAAATTCAATTGGTGTAATCTGAGAAGAAGTAGTTTATGTGACCAGTAGCCTAATTAAAACCCTCTTCAAATCAATGAAAAGACTCCCATTGGCTTTTTGGAGTATGGCATAGGAGAGAAGGCTTCATAGGTAACAAGGAGTTTTAGCAAATGAACATTACCCTCAAAAAACGCTGAACAGTTCTGTAACTCTCAGCTGTCAAATATACAAAAATCTGGTATCAGTTTGAGGTAGTGTGAACAATATCATGTGAATCCGTTCATGATCCTGAACCATAAGCCATATTGTTATATACCATCAAGTACTGCAATACTATTAAGCCTTTAGGTTGAATAAGCATTCGGGGAAGTATTGGGGAGATGTAAGTCAACTATTTTTTTTATTATTATTATTTTTACTGTCTGTTGCTCTCCAACTGATCCGAGCTCACTGTCAGGCCTGGGTAGCTCACATGGTGGCAGGGCTTGCAGTGCAAGTCAGAGCAGGAGCCACTGAGATTCTTTTCTTACTGCCAGTTCCCCCGGCAGATCTGGATCAGCTCTCCCAGCACAAACCTCTCTCTCAGCTGCTTCTGAGGTCAAAAATTGACCAACTGAATTGGAATGTGAAAAGGCCTTCTCTTCTCTAGTGCTTAGGTGAGGAGACAGAACAACCTGCTTTCCTCTACAGTCCCTCTTCACTGCTAGAGCGGAGAGGCTCTTCCCCAGCTTTCAAGCTAGAAGCGTGCAGTGGGATAGAAGGAGAAGGAAAGCAGGGCTTCGGTGGGCAGCATAGCTCAGCACAGAACAGAGCCAAAGAACTACATGATACAAGTGCATACAGTCAAAATTGTGTTGTCACAACAAATGGTCACACTTAAGATGACTGAGAGTAATAGTTAATATTTGTGCTATCATTTAGCACTTTTAGCATGCTGAAATTCACCAATATAAGAGCAAAAATACAAAAATATTTTGCAGTTTTGAAGAATGTTGGAGATCAGCGGTAGCCAGCAGCCAGCATCTTGAAGCTTCTAGTTTTTTGAAATGGCTGTGCCTCGCCATCTAGCAGGCCAACTAAATCAGGTTATTGCTATGCATGTCTTGCCAGGGGAAGGGATGCAGCTCTATTTTGAGTCTAGCAAGATTTGTTACCTCAGCTGCAGCAAAGGGCAAGAATGGCTGTACTGGCCTGGTCCCCAGCACACCTGGCTCGGAATAACAGTGGCCCCCCAAGCATGCAATTTGGCTGCTGCTCTTGTGGATGTTGATTCAGATATTCAAAGGATGTTTCCTCTGAAATTGGAAAATGAGAGGCTGGATTGGACTAGTTTTATTTTGTCTTTCTGATAACTGAATGGGCAACAGTCTACAACATAGTAATTGTCCAAAATGAACAAAAATTAAATGTTTAATTTGCTACTTTTGCTTAAAGCTATTGAGATATATCAATTCCTACTTTTCACAGTCAACAGAAAAAGGGAAAATACTCAGAGTGTAAACATAGCTTCATGACTGCAGTTGATCTAAGCTAGCTAGGACGGTGATGCGTCCCAGAAGTGTAGGAGGCTAGAGAGTGGCTTGTCAGCAGCACTTAAAGTGAAGAGTTAAAATGGAAATAATATTGAGATTGTTCATACAGAGATAGTAAGATGTAAAGTCAGCTGCTTTTTAGTAGCAGTACAACATAAGCTTCTAAATTTTGAGCAAAAGAGAAGAATTTGGATTTATGTCAGTTATTGTACTTGCTTGGTTTTCTTCTTCAGGCTGGTGGAGAGACAAAGGTATAATTATACCTTTAAAAATTACTTGTATTTATTTGTGTTAATGTTAATGGGACTTATGTTAGGTCATGACTTGTACGAAGCCAGTATAACTTGACGAAAGAGTCTTACTTTTGTGCACATGCGCACCTCACAGTTTTAGAGGCAGGTAAGTTCTACCTGGCTCTCTTCTTTCCCTTCCAGCCCAGGATGAATGGGCGGCTGCAGCAGGTCACTGTATCTCTGGCTCCTTCCCCTTTCCTCTCCCTCTGCTGAAGGGTGTCAAAGAGGAGGAGGCCTAAGCAGAGGAACTATTTCCTTTGCTCCCATTACAGAAAGGGGAGTAAAGGCACTTTGGGCTGCTGAGTCCTTCCTGCTCCATAATTCAGATTGAAGTGCTGGTCTGTTTGAGGAGTTACGACGAGCTCTGTTTTCCTTCTCAGCAGCCTCACTGGTTGCTTGGACCCCAGCAGGGAGAGCAGCAGGGAAGCCAGTCCATCCAAGCATTTTTTTCATGGATAGACAGGCCTTCACTAGGCATTGAGCAGGAAACCATCAAGCCCTGACCAAAATCCTGTCTCTCACAAGGAATTTGCACAAGCTGGTAATGCTATATATACTGTTTCCTGCTATTCTTTAAGAACTGAAACTGCTTAACTACAGAGGAATATGGAGACTTTTTTTTCCTTGGTAGTTTGAAATACTCTTAAGGAAAGAATACCACATGCCACGATTTGCAGAAGTGAGATTATCAGACTTCAGCAAAGCGTTCAAACACCACCACTTCAGCAGCCATTTTTATACATTTTTGGTTTTAAAAGAAGTAAAAGCTTGCTGTTTTTTTTTTTTTTAAAAAAATAAAAGTGTTTTTTTTTTTTTTTTTTTTTTTGGGGGGGGGGGGGGTACCTTGCAGTTAAACTGTAAAAGAAGTAATCCACTTTTAAACCATTCTGGACTTATATTTAAAGA